TCAAGGTGAAAGCAAAAAGTGGTCGGAAATAGCAACAAGGGTTTTTCCGGATACTAAAAGTGGTCGGAACAAGGCTTTCCACTTGATTTAAGATCACTTTCACGTGATCGGAAATTTCAGAATTTCCAGTAGTGAGGCCTCTTTCTTCACCCATTGGATCAAGACTTATCCAATAAAATGGACCACCGGGGTCCTATGTCAGTATGTCCTCTTCGCAAAAAAAAAAAAAAAAAAAAAAAAAAAAAAAAACTTAAATATTACATTCACTCTTTATTTTGAACCATAATTGCACATAAAACAAGAAATATTATTAAAGCAACACCGCACTATCATATTCAAGCTATCGTACAATCTTTCTTTTTTGAATTTATAGGACGGGATCAACCAACAATGAGGTAATGAAGCCTTTCAACATGGTTTTGGAATGTGTATATGAATCTCCATCAACATATAGCGAATCTATTACTCTTGAGAAGTTGAGGAGTCTAGTGAGTATTGGCATATGTACAACACTAGGTTTAAGACATTCTTGGTTGGTGTCTTTCCATGCATCAATGACTTGTTTTTACAATTCGTTGTAGGTATCTTTTTTCGATTTCACATATTGTTTCATGTAGCATTCCACAGAAGATGCCATGTGCCCTCGTTGCTGCTCAAACTATACATAAAACAATACATATCGAATGTTAGTTTCTCCATCTCATTTTATTAATATATAAATATATTGTTCACTTTTTCAATTTAAATGCCAATAACTTTTTTTTTATATGTATTCCAATTTACCCTTTCTTAACCCAAACTTCCTAATGTAGACTACCTTCACTTAAAAAAAAAAAAAAAAATCATATTACTTTAATCTTTGCTACCTTAAGAAGTTTGTGGTCCATAGAGTTAAAAAGAGGGAGAGAGACTACATATAATAACAAGACTACTTTTATTTAGGTTGGACCCCACTAACTATTGTGAAAATTGTGATAATTAATGTATGGATATGGACCTTACATATATCTTTTTTAAATAAACAATTATTGGCTCACAATTATTAATCGAGTTAGTCATAAATAGTAGTTTTGTTGGTATTACCTCATGGCCAGCCATATCATCCATTAATCTGCAAATAATGGATGTAGCTCGAACAATTAATGACTCCTTACTCAACCAATCAAATACCTCTTTTGTTACAAAATCTTCTTGCATGCCTACTAGAGAAGTTATTGTTGACATCCTTTACACCACACGTTTCAGTTGCAAGCTTCATGTACTCCTCAAATTCTTGTCTAAGTAATCGAAAGCCCAGTGAGACAACGTAAAGATTGTTCTCATGTTCTTCGCCATTGAATTCATCATAGTTCTCAAATATGTGTTGTAAGGTAGCTTCAATCTCCTTTTGAAATTGATAACACACTCCTAAGCGTTGGATCTTATTAATCAAGTCCAATTTTTGGGATGTAGTGTGTTGGGCTTCCATAATCATGTTCTGATCTTCACCTTTTCCCTTAGATGTTGATGCTCTTGCCATTCCGGTGCATCCACTTCCACCTGCGCCAATATACAAGTAGTACAAGACTTGTTAATTTTCATGTACTAGCTAAAGTATTATTACCATAGAAACCTTTAGCCTTGAGCCTTTAATATAAATTATAAATTATTATGTGCTAATTTTCAGATCAAGTACTTATTATTACGCAAAAAGCTATGATTAATAGCTAATTAAAACCTAATTTATTTATTTTTTTAATAGTAGGATGCTAGATTTGACTCTCGGACAAAAATAAATGTTATACCTTAAAAAATAATTATATATTGGTTGAAGGTTTTAGATATATCTAATTCTCTGGAGTTGCCTTTCAATTTATAGTACTTGGTAATCGTTTGAATGTGGGAGGTCTTAGAGTAATACTAAACATAATCTACTTTGGAGATCAGAATTCAGAACACCTTTTATTTTCTAAAAAGATCTTATTGGATCAATTATATGCAAGGAAAGACATATGAGAGGCTCTTAATACCCGGGTATCCAATCAGAGATTATGACCTCAGAAAAATTGAAGCCTCAATTTAAAGTGATGAAAGGCACGTTTCTAAGGAATCTTAACATGTTAATAACGTGCGAAAACTTATGACACATGTTATCAGTAATGGGATGGGTGTCGTTCATGTCATGCAACGTACAACGATATGATGTCCTTGGTCAGATTTTTTATAATAAAATGAAATCATCAACATTGTGTGAGAGGATGAATAAATTGTACTCCGTCTTATTTTATATATCTAGTTCGGTTAAATTACATTAAAAGCATTATTAAATAAAAAATTAAATTTTAAATATTTTTAAAATGTCAAAAAAGGTAAAGAATGTAAAGATAGTTTTGACCAATTAATAGTAAATAAGATCATGCATGGTGGCCGAGGATGGACCTCAGCTTTTTTTTTTTTTTTTTTTTTTTTTTTTTTTTATATATAAATGTTATTATGTATTTATTTATTTTTGATTATTTATTTATTATTGCACCTATAAGGGCCGGACTTGAGTAGATCGGGCCCTGGACTCAGACAAAACTCAACCCTACTCCCCTTTCTCCTTGATTTTGTTTTTTTTTTTTTTTTTTTTAATTTTTTAAACCCCCTTCATGGTTTACATCAAGGCAAATTATAGAATTTTAAATCGAATTGCTATGATTTGGACCCAATATAGGTGCGCCAAGGATGCCATCAAGCAAATTTCTAATATTCTCAAAAGAAATCCACTGCTCGTTTAGTATTGCAAGAGTCGGACCCCATGGTCCCGTTAAAAATTCACGCAATGGTGAGCCCCTAATCAACACTTTCAAGATTTTTGTAGTAAAGGGACCACCACTTTTGTCGGATGGGTAACCTCCCACACCCTTAAGGCAAGATAGTTTGTTATTTTTTGTTTTTCTTTTAGCTTAGTCGAGGCAGGGCATCAACCATCTTTTATAAGACTTCAAATTGCCACCTGGACAATTGTCTTTTTCAAGACTGAATTGAAGAAAACCATGTTCTTTCAGCCACCCAAATCGTTGGTGATGATTCATCACTTTTATATTTATCCTTTCTCCATTTAGTTTCAGGATAATACACCATCATCTCCCCCTACTTTGTCTCCTTCAAGAAATTCAAGCTCACATCTCTTGGCATTTGCTACGTCATTTGATTTTGAGCTTTTTCTAAGTTGTAATGAAATTATCATATCAGCATGTTCTTCGATCATTTACTGCCTCAACTTTAAATTCCTCGGGTTGTTGCAAGGTTGGTGGGGACCATTCATACACCATTTAGAATGGGATAATGCGAGGAACACTAAGAAAAGAGGTATTGTACCAGTATTTGGCCCAATGGATGAAGCATCCCCATTATATTGCTTCGGTTGCTCGAAGGTCATACACTGTAAGTATTACTCAAGGCATCAATTGAGATTGACAATCTGTTTGAGAGTGGTAGGTAGTACTCATACGCAACTTGGCACCGTACCCCATTTGTAAAAAAAAATTATGTCAAAAAAATACTAAGAAAGGCTGAGTCTCAATCTCTTTGTATTCATCTTGTGTAAACGAACTACGGAGTATTTCTTTTGCAAATATGCCACCTCGAGACTTGGCGCTGAAAGAAGTTTAAAATGAGGTCGGTTTGTCGAGTCCAGGCGAAGCTGCTATACAATAGGACTTATGCTAGAATCCTTGGCAATAGTTGTACCCAATATAATTTAACCCAATTGATCCATAGTGGTAAAGATACTACCGACAATTCCAGCTCTTCATTCTGATGAGACAAAGCATTTGCGGCATTGTTTAACTTCTCAGGCCAGCTTGCATGCTTATCGGGAAGGCGATCAGTTGGTCACCTTTTGATGGGGAAGGCAACCAGCAGCATATCGTCGCCAGTGTTATTGCACGAAAATGGCTGGAGTGTCGTCAGATAGTCGTTGAAATCCTAGCTTACTGACCTATAATAATAGGACACTAATCAGTTTTTGGACTTTAATGTCCCAAATAACATGTTGATGGGTTTAATTGCACTTTTTCTAAGTTCAGGAGCCTTATTGACTTTTGAATAAAATTTAGGGGTCTATTTGGCCTTTTTTCCAAATATAAGAGAAGCCAATGAAATACTATTTTGTTTTATACCAATATTGCAAAAAAAAAAATTAAAAGAGGAAAAAATTCTTTATTTTGAACTAAAATTGTTGATGAAATAAGAAAAATTACAACAACACAATCATATTCAAGATTATTGAGTCTTTGATAAGTAGTCGATTTTTTTTTTTTGGCTGTTATTTTGGATTTGACCCTCCGATATAATTAGCTAGTAAACCCATCATTATTGTGTGGACCATGATCCATACAAGTTGTGTGAACCATATTTTGTATACTGTAAAATAATGTACATTCAATACAAAAATAATGTACATTCAATACAAAAATAATGCATATTGTATTCAGGGGATGTACATTATTTTTGTACTGAGTGTACATTATATTGTATAATGTACACTCAATACAAAAATAATATACTTTTTGTTATAGTCCATGTAACATTGTGTGGACCTTGTTCCATACAATAATTTGCCTCAATCGATATGTCCATTGGCTTAGCGATGAAAAAAAAAAAAAAAGAAAAAAAAAAAAAGAAGAGGAAAGTAACCATTTAAGATGACAGATTGGTTTTATTAATTAATATAAATTAGTAGATTTTATATTAATTTTTTGAACACTATTAACTCTATTAGAAGATAATATCTGTTCTATTATTTCTCTATCTATTGCAGTCCAAAGAGTTAATTCCCCATTTCTATTATTTTTTATTTATTGCAGTCCAAATAGCTAATTCCCCACTACCGGGGTTCGATCCTGTGATTTTCTTTAAAGAGGAGTCACAGAGGTGTGAGCACAAGGTGCTTGGCAAATTTTATATTAATTTGGTTATTAGTTTTTCGTTTTATATTTTCTGTGTTTTTTATGGACTTACAATAGCTAACAAACTTGATAGATGAAAATATTGGGTAATAAAATTAAAATTCATACACCACAATAACCACATACAAACACCTTTGTTAATAGGATACATGTCTTATTTTGAAATTCCTACAAATCCAACCTTGAAAGTTACTAGGGAACATGCATAAAGCAACATCGATCACCGCTTTCAAGATATATGATGGTAGATTCATTTTCATTTTTATTTTGAAGATGAAGATTCATATGGGATTGGATCAATCAACACTGAGGTAATGGCTGCTTTAAGCTCGGTAGTGGAATGTGTATATGTATCTCCATCTTTATACAACAAATCTATAACTCTTGCAAGGTTGACAACTCGGATGAGTATAGGCATGGGAAAAACAGTTGGCTTAAGACATTCTTGATTAATGTCTTTCCATGCGTTGTTGACTCGTTCATGAAACTCGTTAAAAGTCTCTTCTTTAGACTTTTTGTATTGTTTCATGTAGCTTTCCACAGCCGAATCTACATGCCCTCTTTGCTGCTCAAACTATACATCACAAATAGTGCAAATTCAACATTAAGTGCAAATAGCCAATGAATAAATAAAGTTTTATTATCACTTCAGATATTGAAAAATTTTGGTAAAAATTTTTAGCCTATGTAACTTTATTTTATAGATATTAGTTATAATTTTATTGTTACCTCATGCCCAGCCATATCATCCATTAATCTACAAATAACTGATGCAGCTCGAGTAATTAATGGCTCCTTACACACCCAATCAAGCGCCTCTTTAGTTACAAAATCTTCTTGCATGCCTACCAAAGAAGTTGTTGATAGCATCATATAAGCACCCGTTATAAGTGCAACCTTCATGTACTCCTCAAACTTTGGAGTACAACGATTATAAAACCACTTTGCTTCTTCATAATATGCTCCCACTAACTTTTTCATCTAAAAACATAGCAACAATTAAAGTTCCAAAAGTAATTAATATCATATATATCCTCCAACATTTGTAAAATTTAATATAAGCTTCTTTTTTTTTTGGGGAAATTGTAATTTATACCCCACCATAGTATGTCAATTATCAATGTCATCCTTGAATTATTAGTGGTGTAAATGTTGCCATTCAATTTTCAAAACGGTACATATATTGCCCCTCTCGTACGGTACAGGAGGGGCAATGTATGTACCATTTTGAAAATTGAGGGGCAACATTTACACTTGGGAGGGACAATATATGTATCGTTTTGAAAATTGATAGACAACATTTACATCACTAATAATTCAGGGGTGACATTAATAATTGACATATTATAGAGGGGCATAAATTACATCACTAATAATTCAGGGGTGACATTAATAATTGCCATATTATAGAGGAGCATAAATTACAATTTTTCCTTTTTTTTTTTAGTATAAGGAAGGGGAATACCCTACATATACACACTAATTGCCTCAACCAAAGTTCAAACCCATCACTTCCCACCAAGGGGAGCAATCCAATACCAGTGGACTACAAGCCACTTGGTGATTTAATATAAGCTTTAACATATATATATAGTTTATATTGATCATATCATAAAATGTATATCATAAAATAGTACCTCATATTTTGCATAGTTGATGCGGTATGATTCGCCTTTGCCAGCCAACTCTTTCTCCATTTCAGCATAAACATTAAGAAGAGCGACATAACAAACTCTCATATATTCAGGTAATTCATTTACAACACCAGCATCCCATCTGCATGACAAAAGTGTATCAACACTATGATTGAGAAGAAAAAACAGAGATGAAAATTAAATCTCAATTAGCCAAGCTATGGATGATCAAATAATGTTAGAAAAAGGGCTTGAAATCTGTAATACATTTGAGATACAACAAGAAAATACAGAATACATCAGGGAACAAAAACTTGATCATTTGATATCTTCGTGTAATCACTTTCCTATAAGCTTTAAATCTCCCTCTATAAAAGCAACAAGGTTCAAGATTTAATCTTATGGAATACAAGAAGATGAATGAAATTCTCAAGTTGCTTTGTTTGAGAATTTCCTGTAGAGATGTAAGCCTGTGAAGTATCTTGGTTTCCAACAAATAAAAATAAAAGTTATTGAACCTTTGGATTGCATCTGTGAATAGGTGGAGCTCGTCAAGAGTTCCATAGACATCATAAATATCATCAATAAGTGAAGTCATTGCTATAACTTTCAAAAGAAATCTTCTGGCAAAAGAGTATTGTGGTTCAAAGTACACTCCTAACATCCAAAAGTAGCACTCCACCAATCTGTCCCGGACAAAAGGTAGATTTTTGGGGACATTTAATCCCTTCCACCACCTATGTTATAGAGAATATAGAAACAATAGGTTAGTCCATCGATCTAAAACCCTTTTTAATATTCATATTTAGGAATTGTTTGATGGTCTATATTTTACCTTGTAAGATTGCCTAACTCCCTCTGATGTTCCTTCTGCAGCATGTTGAAGTCCAATTTCGCAAATTTCAACAGTACAATATCATGAGTTTCATCAACTTCATAAATTGATATGTATCTTCTTGCTTCTATCCTTGTTAATCTTTTGTAAATTGGCCTCTTCAATGCTTCATTGACTTGAGATCTAAGAGGATCAGTCAAGTTTGGTAACAAGGATTTTAAGTAAGAAGTGGTAAATATGAGTGCTTCATCTAAAATCTTTTCCCGGTGTACTCTAAGATGTGATGCCTCGTACAAAGCTAATATTGCTTGCACATTGTCGGTCAACAACGATTCCTTGAACTTGCCATCACATGCAGTGAAGTTTTCGAACGCACCTGCAATATTCATGATCCCACCTCTCTATTCAATTATCCCTCATACGGAGTACTCGTATTAATTAAGTGCATACTTTTGAATTATACACTTACTGCAAGGTGCATGATAGCCATGTTGTCTAAGTAGTCGAAAGCGCAACGAAACAATATAAAGATCATTCTCATCTTGTTGGATATTCGATTCATAGTAGCTCCTGAATATGAGTTGCAATGTTGCTTCAATCTCCTTTTCAAATTGATAGCTTACTCCCAAGCGTTGGATCTTGTTGATCAAGTCTATTTTTTGAGAAGAAATGTGTGGGGCTTCAACAAGCATGTTCTTTACTTTTTCCTTTAGTTGTTGATGCTCTTGCCATTCTTGTGTATCTGCTTCCTGCATATACATCATATCATCTCGCATTCTTTTTACCAAAGTATTATTAAAATGTTCTGTATACAAATATTATGCTCTGTTTGGTAGGGTTTACTTTGGAATTTATATATTTTAAGCTACTAATAAGATATAAGCTCTGTTTGGTAATAATATCAAAATAAGTTATTAGCTTAAAATAAGAGCTTATTTTGAAAAAATACCTTAGATAGAGGCTATGTTTGGCCAACCTAGCTTAAAAGGAGCTTAAAGCTGAAAAACTATAGGGGGACGTTTGGTTCAGGTTATATAAGATAACAAATGTTATATTTGCTTGGTAATATAAGATTCCCATGTTTGGTTCAGGTTATATAACTTTCCCAGGGAATGTCAGATAACCTCCGCATTAAGTTTTTAGCTATTGGAAGGGAATGTTTTGTCTTATTACTAATGTTGGGCTTTGTATTTTTTAATCAATTTATCTTATTATCGTTGTTTTATTTACATATCTTAGTTTTAAACCAAACACATGAATCTAACATTTCCAACAATCTAATATTCTCAGCAGTCTAACATTTCGTAAGGTAATCTAACATTCCGTGAACCAAACGCCCCCTAAGGTAGAAGCTGAAAATTAAAGAGCTGTTAAGCTAGGTGTTATGCTCGAAAGTGTTTCGTAAAATGAGCTTTTTTATAAGTTGATAATTGTAAAAAGACAAAAAAGGACATCTTCATAAATTTTAAATTAGTTTGTTTACATATTAAAATTTAACATTTTGTCTTTAAAAAAATAAATATTTTAAAATAAAATTATTAGCATAATCATGATTTAGCATCCCATAATGAAGTAGCAATATTGTTGCGAATCTCCTTCATCTAATAATAATAATAATAATAATAATAATAATAATAATAATAATTGCGGTGAAAATTGCAGATAAAGGAGAAGAGAAAAAAATTTTAATTGGAAAGGATACACGATGTCATTTCTTTAAAATAATAAGGACAAAGATGAAAAAAAAGTTAAGAAGCTACTAGCTTATTTTTAAACGCTACCTAGGGTAGCATTCCAAAATAAGCTCACAAGCTTATTTTGAAACATTACCAAACAGAGCTTATAGTTTATCAGTAACTTAAAATAAGCTATAAGCTCCTAAATAAGCTATGCCAAACAGAACCACCTTTTCAAAAACAAGCTAAGAGCTTCCTAACATTTTTCAATCATTATCCTTATTATTTTAAATAAGTAACATCTTTTACCCTTCCCAATTAAAACCCTTTTGGCCTTTTCTCTTCTCCTGTATTTTTATTCATTTCTCCGGCAACTCTTCCTCACCCAGCAACTCCTTTAAAGTTCTAACTCCAATTGTCCGTTCATAAATAAATGACATCCTTTACCCTTATCGATTAAAAACTTTTTTCTTTTGTTTTAATTTAATATATATATCTCATATATATTATAAAAACAAAAACTTTTTTTAATAAATTAAATATATCTCATATATTTAATAATATAAAAACAATATAATAATCACATCATTTAAATTTTATAAAAATGTCCTTTTTAGTCTTTTTACATTTATTAGTTTATCAAAAAGCTAATTTTATCAAACATTTGCATAATCAGCTAGTTAACAACTCTTCAGTTTCCAGCTTTCAACTACTTTTTAACTTTCAGAGTTTCAGCTACCTTTTCAACTAGGTTTGCCAAACATAACCTACTTCAATTTCGAGTATAGTCTTGTTTGGTAAAATAGTTACCCCAGCAATTATACTGTGAACCGCGGTCTATAAAGCTTTGTGGACCATGGTCCAGAACGGCAGACACTATAGTGTATATAAACTGACAGTCTCACGTATTATTTTTATTATATTATGATCAAATAAAACTGCAATTGAATTGAAATGATATTGTAGTTGTGTTGAAATGAAACTGAATAACAATTTCACATATTTGAGTGTATATTGTCCAACGAAACCGTAGTTATATCAAAATGATATTATAGTTGTATTGAAATGAAACTGTAGTATATATTTGATGCCTGAATCACAATGCATTGTGGACCGCAGTCCACAGTATAATTTGTCATAGTTAGCCTATCAGCAAATTTTGACTTATTTGACCACTATTAGCTGTTTGACTTGGTTAAACAATCAATATGAGTGTTTGATTAATTAGCTTTTTGTAACAAATTATTGCTCCAAAATGTTAAAATTCAAAAAACTAAAAGTAGCTTTTTCAATAAGCTTTTTTGAGAAAGTCATTTTGCATGTAATCAGCTATCAGCTAACAATTAATTTACCTAACAGTTTTCTACAATCCGCTAATGCTATTAACTAGTCAAAGTATATAAACCCTACCTTGGTTTGAGTAGAATAAGGTAGAAAATAGTGTCCCCAAATGCTTGGATGAAAACCAGCAGAACGACGGCGAACTTCATGCAGCTGTGTTTGGTTTGACATAAGAACTGATAACGGTAGATTGCTATTGGCATCCATTTTTGGGCAAGAATCTAAGGGGATATCAGAAATATATGAACAAATAAATTATAAATTAGGTTTTACATTTAGTTCTCTGGAGTTGCCAGTCAATTTATAATATTTTAGGATAGACGTATCACGTATGAGAGGCTCTTAATAGCCTGTGTCTGATCTAATCGTGCGTTAATTGCGACCTGAAAGAAATGAAACCTCAATTTTAACGTGATGGAATTTAAGGAATCTTACGTACTGTTTCCACAAAAAAAAAAAAAAAAAAAAAAAAAAAAAAAAAGGAATATTATGTACGTATCAGTATTAATTGCATGTATCTATCATGTCATGCTACGTACAATAATATATATGATGCCACTGGTCGGATTTCTACATCTACAATTTAAATGAGAGTCAATAATGTTAGGCCATTTATTGAAACACAAAAAATATCCATAGTATTGTTTCTTAAAATGAATGGTTCATATATTTTAATTTTAGTATTTTTTTTTAATGATTTTTCCTATTTAGCCTCTATTATATTATTTCCTTCCCTTAAATAACCTAAATTCAATTAGAATAAACTTTAGTAACGGATATTCCATTAACTATTTATTATTTATAACTTATTAATTTCTATAAGAAAAGTCTTAGGTTCTGGTACGGGTAATTCCCGCGTATGTAGAATGTATGTATGAACAATAATGTATGTAGACAAGAGGAAATAGTTCAAAGGGATCTCTTTATTCATAATTCTTCTTGTGTGATCTTGTAGAAAGAAGGGAGAGAAAGAGTCTCAATCTTCTTGTGTGATCCTATAGAGAGAAGGGAGAGAAAGAGTCTATCTAGAGAGAGATCAGAGAGAGAGCTAGTGGAAGTGAAGGGCCCCCTAACTTGGAGGGCTAAAGCTTTTGAGAGAATGTAAAACTTAACGGACATGGCTAAATGCTGGTGCGCACAAGTGGTCTGCCTACTTTGGAGTACTTGGTAACCGTTTGAATGTGGGAGGTCTTAGAGCAATACTAAACATAATCTACTATGGAGAACAGCCTTTATTTTCTAAAAAGATCTTATTGGATCAATTATATGCAAGGATAGACATATGAGAGGCTCTTAATACCCGGGTATCCAATCAGAGATTATGACCTCATAAAAATGAAGCCTCAATTTAAAGTGATGAGCGGCATGTTTCTAAGGAATCTTATCATGTTAATAACGTGCGAAAACTTATGACACATGTTATATCAGTAATGCATGGGTGTCGTTCATGTCATGCAACGTACAACGATATGATGTCATTGGTCAGATTTTTTATAATAAAATCTAATCATCAACATTGTGTGAGAGAATGAATAAATTGTCCCTTCCAAATATCTGTCGGACTGGAGCGTGGGGCCCTTAGGATTGGGATTTAACCTTTTGGGAGAAGATGAATAAATTGTCCTCCGTCCCATTTTATGTATCTAGTTCAGTTAAATAACATTAAAAGTACTATTAAATAAAAAAATCAAATTTTATATAATTTTAAAATGTCAAAAAAAAGTAAAGAATTTAAAGATAGTTTTGACCAATGAATAGTAAATAGGGTCATGCATGGTGGCCGAGGATAGACCTAAGCTTTTTTTTTTTTTTTAAATGTTATTATGTATTTATTTATTTTTGAGTATCACAAGAATCGGACCCCATGGTCCCGTTAAAAATTAACGCAATGGTGAGCCCATAACTAACACTTTCAAGGTTTTTGTAGTAAAGGGACCACTACTTTCGTCGGATGGGTAACCTCCCACACCCTTAAGGCAAGATATATAGTTTGTTTGTTTGTTTTTTTTTTTTAGCTTAGTGGAGGCAGGGCATCAACCATCTTTTATAAGACTTGAAACTTAGTTGTGGCAGAGCCCCAACCATTTTCCTGTCATCCTGTGTACTTTCACCCTTCAACAGTCCCACGAATTAAAATGGAAAAGGCATATTTTATTTTTAGACAACAAAATTTATCTCGACAGATGATGATAAAAAGTTACAATGTCAAATATCTTAACTTAAATAAGATTCACAAGTTAATAGGTTTTTAACTGATAAGTGTATTTTTGTCTATATTTTTACTCATTCTTGAACTCATTTTATTTGTGAATTGCTTAAAAACTTGTGTGAATTTTGACTAAGTTATGTTGGTTTTATTTTAAGGTGTAATCATCCACAACAAGTGAGGAAATTCAATGATTTTTAGAAAGATTCGAGCAATTCTTGGACCAAGAGATCAACCAAAGAGTTTGGAATGCACTTAGGAAGTTCTAGGAGCATCGTACTGCCTCCCGTACCCCCATCCATCAGCCCATCCAAGATCTCAAAAAAGAAGCAGGTGACGTACGCCCGTACGCATGCCAGTACATCCATTCCAGTGTTCACTGGAAATGCACCAAAAATGGTACTGCCTGGCGTACGCCCATCCAAGAGGCCGTCCTAACCCGTTCTGCCTTTTTTTAACCCCGTTTTCTCTCATTTCTACATGGATTTTGGACCTTGTTCCAACCCTTGACATTTCCTTTCACTTCCATACATATTCTACTGTTAGATTAGGCTTAGATTTAGGTTCCACAACATATTTCAAGCTTGTAATCAAGGATTCAACACTTGGATTCCAAGATTTGCCATCCATTTCTTAGTGAAGTTTCCTTCATTTTATCTCTTTATCTTGCAATGTTTATGCTTTACACTTGTGTTTTTGTGCTCTTTATGCTATTTAATGATGAGTAGTTAGTTTATGGGCTTGAGCTAGGGTTGTATTATCTATCTTGATGCTTGATTTGTGCTTATTGCAAAAAAAGGGGAAGAACTCTAACATAGGGTTCATGTGTTTGTGAAGGTGTTGTGTTTATATCTTGTTAATGTTTGATGTACACATTCTATGACATGTTTTGGAGGATTCTTGGCCTCAATGAGAGTTGGGTCAAGATTCCAAGCCACTCCTTGCATAAACCCGACTTTTCCTATGAAAATGAAGGAAATTGGAGGTTTTAGATGCTTTGTGTTCTTGAAGAACTTGGAGTTGATTCACCACGAGAGTGGGGCAATTTCTTATTCTGATCTAATCCTTATTAATTTGCTCACGTGAGTGACTTATAAACTAGGATTCCTACGTGCATCCCTTCTATTCCTTGGTTGTGTGATTTTCCCCAATCCTTAGGTTGTGCTATGCATCTAGAAGATAATACTCCCTAGCTTGAGTCCTATTTCTTTATTTCGTGTTTACATCTTGTTCATATGTGTTCATGTTATTTTGATTAGTTACCGTAGTCTTAATTTCATTATGATTTGCTTAGCTTCTTGTTGGTTTCCTTATGCTAGTACCTAGTTTATTACGATTGCATATTGCGTGTCATATATAACACCCAATCTCCTGAGGACGACATTACACACCCGAGTTCACATCTTATTTTTACTACAATCATTAACTATTTTACATATATATACAATAATAGTCATGAAAAAAATTTGAGCTTTTCTAAATGCAAGATAATTAATAACAGCATCAATGCCTTAATAAATAAAAAATTATAGTTTATAAAAACGAATAAATAATTTAAAATCAGAGCTAAAAATCTTTTTGACTAGGGGTGAGAAATCAAAATACTTCGATCAAACCGCGATAAAAATGTTCATAACAAAATATGAAACACAATTAATTAGATAAAATAGTTCGAATAAAAATGTATTATAAATCACACATATTCTATATTGATATAATATTTATAAATAATTTTGTCTTTTAGCTATATAAATTTCAAATTTTTCTAGGGTAATTTGAATACAATGACACATAATGGAAACTTTTAGATTAAATAGACTAGATGATTCATAAAACAAAAAATTATATTAAAAAAATTTTCATAACGAAATCACAAAAATATATTTTCATATAAATTAATTAATCAAGTTAAATAATTTTTATAGTTCATAACTCATAATAAAAGCTCACAAAATAAAACATGTTATAAATATAATGTAGAGAAAAAAAATTATTAAGTGCGTATGTTATTTACTTATATATATAACATCCCAAGCCGCCGGTGGATTGCTCGCAGTTCGTTTCGGAGGCCGGCGCTTCGTCGCCTCACCCCTCGAGAAACAATGTCCCACTCTATCGTAGTTCGTTTCAGTGGCTGTGTCTGTGTTTTTTTTTAATAATATATATTTTAATAAAAAAATAAAAAAACTTATATAAAAAAAAAAAACTATTTAAATATGACACACCAAGCATTCTACCACGAATTGTTGGGTTCGCTTCATCATACCCTTCCATTAATTATTGGCAGCTAGTTGGCGGTATGTGCGATAAACTCCTGAGTGCCCTTCCATTGGTGTGGAGTGAAATTCTTCCAAGAGACGAGAAATCTAAGGTGATGTGGCTGGTAGAACAGTGCGTCCCTTATAAAACCGCCCTTGAAGAAGTTGAAAAGGAGGTCGGCTTGTCGAGTCGAGGTGAAGCTGCTGTACAATAGGACTTAAGCTAGAATTCTTTGCAATAGTTCTACCCAATTCAACCCAATTGATACATAGTGGTAAGGATATTGCCGGCGATTCCAGCTCTTCATTCTGATGAGACAAAGCATCTGCGGCATTGTTTAACCTCTCAGGCTTGCATGCCTATAGGGAAGGCGACTAGTTGGTCACCTTTTGCTGGGGAAGGCAACCAACGACATACCGTCGCTAGTGTTAGTGCTCGGAGATGGCCGGAGTGTCACCGAATAGTCGCTGAAGCCCTAGTGACCTATAATAGCAGGACACTAATACGGAGTAAGTTTTTGGGTTTCAATATCCCAAAATAATATGTTGATGGGTTTAATTACATTTTTTAAAAGTTCAGGGACTTTATTGAGTTTTTGAATAAAATTTAGGGCCCTATTTAACTTTTTCCAAATATAAAAGAAATGAATGAAATTCTGTTTTGTTTTATACCATTGCAAAGAAAATTAAAAGAGGAAAAAAAAACAATTTTTTATTTTGAAATAACCATATTAAAAAAAAAAAAGAAGAAGAAAAGAAAAGGAAAGTAACCATTTAAGATGACAGA